AATGAAAATAGGTRATCCCATCACTTCAGTGTCCTATAATACTGTAGACATCAGATATTTTGTGCAAGACAACAAAACAGAAGAGTTAAGCACAACACAGTTCAAATCTACTATGTGYCTGTCTGGTTCTCCTGTTTCTGCTGTCATTGGTTTTGCATCGTCTTCTCCAACAAGAGCTGCAGCTCAGATTCTTGGCTCTTTCAGCATCCCACTGGTAAGATAATGAAGGACATAAAAAAGGAAACATTATGATTGAACTCTTGATTTATAGGTTGTATTTTATAGCATTTAAAACACTTTGAAGCTGTTTTAAAATAGTGATAATATTATTTTTTAAAATATCGGGAATGTTAATAAGATGACTCTGTTTCATTCTAGGTTAGTTATTTTGCCACTTGTACCTGTCTTAGTGACAAACTAACATACCCATCATTCTTGAGGACTGTGCCCAGTGATTTGTTTCAAGTTAAAGTCTGGTTCAGCTGGTCACGTTCTTTGGCTGGCTCTGGGTGGCCACTATAGGAACCACAGTAAGATACACATTTTATCTTCAGAGTCAGTTTACTACACCAACATGAATTACACATCTTTCTTTGGTTCTAGGATGACTACAGCCACTATGGAATACAAGCATTCTCTAATCAGTTTAAATCAAAAGGTGGTTGTGTTGCATTTCATCTCACTATTCCAGCATCACCCACACTGCAAGTGAGATACAAGAAATGGCAAATCTACTACAGAATTCAAGCACAAGGGTTGTTGTGGTTTTTGCCACAGAGGGACAACTATTYGATCTATTTGTGGAAGTATGCATATAAGAAAACATATAGTATGTAGTGAATATTTAAAAATACTGAAAAGAAAACGTGACAGGAACAGATTGTAATAATAATTATATTTCTTTGAATATCCCTTTATAGCTCGCTCAACGAAATGTTACAGGGATTCAGTGGATAGCAAGTGAAGCGTGGGTAACTGCTAGACTTCTGACTTTACTGCACTTCCACCACCTTTTAGAGGGAACTCTGGGCTTCTCCTTCCCAGGGGTCAGAATACCTGGGTTAAAAGAGTTCCTACTGAAAGTCCGTCCATCTCCCAAAGCAGGAATGGAATTTATCAACATGTTCTGGGAGGAGCAGTTTGGTTGTAAACTGAGGTTTGAAGAAAACATACCCAGAGAAAATGAGACAC